CCTGAGTTTTTGTCACAGTTCAATATGATTATCTGGTTCAGACCTGGTAAACTTGGTGCTAAGCCTGACACCCCCACTAGATGATGGGATGTCTACCCCAAAGAGGGGGATAGCAACTATGCCTGGGTCAACCCACAGAATCTCAGACTGGTCTTCACACAGGAACAGCTAGCCACCTCCCTGCATGCCACCTACCTTGAATACCTGGTCCTACATGCTGTTGCACTGATGGATGTGGAGAAACTTCATAATGATATCCTCTCAGCTCTACCCTCAGACCTGGTTTCCCAAGTCTGGTTCTCAGATACATCAGATTCCCAGTGGTCAGTTGATGACACCAGCTTCCTCCACCTGGATGGAAGAATCTATGTACTGGACTCTAATGACCTTTGCCTTCATGTCTTGAGGTTCAAACATGATCACCCCTTGTCCAGCCACTTTGGCCAAAATAGAACCTTGGAACTCATCCAGCATGAATACACCTGGCCCAGCCTAAGGACATTTGTCAAAGACTATGTCTAGTCTTGTACTACCTGTGCCCAGGCCAAGGTACCCTGCCACCAGGTCTTACAGCCTACTCAAACAACTCCCTGTGCCAGAGAAGCCATGGAATTCCATCTCAATGGATTTCATAGAGCAACTCCTAGCCTCAACTGGCTTTACTGCCATCCTCATCATAGTTGACCAGCTTTCAAAGCAAGCCATTTTCATACCTACTCACAACACCATCACAGCCCCTGAGCTCACTAAGCTCTTCCTGATGCATGTATTCTCCAAGCATGGTGTACCAGCCCATGTGACCTCAGACTGGGGATCAGAATTCATATCCCACTTCTTCTGGTCTCTTGGTAAGGCTCTAGATATGTGTCTACACTTCACCTCTGGGTATCACCCAGAGGGGGATGGTCAGACAGAGTGCACCAATCAGACCCTTGAACAGTATCTTCAGGTCTACTGTAACTACCAACAGGATAACTGGGCCAAGTTACTACCATTGGCTGAATTTGCTTACAACAATGCACCCAGCACTATGACTGGGGTATCACCCTTCTTTGCTAATAAGGGTTACCACCCTAATATCTCAGTCTTCCCTGAGCATGATCTCACATCCAACTGGGCTTGTGATTACACAGTCAGCTTAGATTCACTGCACCAATACCTTCATGAAGAAATGGCACTCACCCAGCAATGCTACCAAGGACTGGCAGATGCTAAGCACATGCCAGCCCCAGACTTCAAAGTGGGTGACAGTGTCTATATAAAAGCCAAGTATTTCTGGTTGACCTGGCCCTCCAAGAAGTTGAGTGAGAAGAACCTTGGGCCATACCCCATAATAGCCCAGGCTAGGTTCTCACTCATTCCCAGACTCTATGCATGCTGTACACCCAGTCTTCCATGTATCCCAACTTGAACTGGCCATCCCAAATACCCTACCCAACTGGACTCAACCTCCACCCCCACCAGTAGACATTGATGGCAACTTAGAATTCGGAGTAGCAGAGATACTCAATTCAAAGGTTGACTGGTGCAGAAAGTGTTGGTTGCAGTACCTGGTCTGGTGGACCAGTTATGAGGGAACTGACAAAGAAACCACCTGGGTATTAGCAACAGAGTTAGATAATGCCTCAGAACTTGTTCAAGAATATCATGACCAGTACCTGGACAAACCTGGTCCTTTCAAGAAATAACCTAGAACTGGTCTCAGGTTTCTTTTCTCCTTATCTGTTTTGTTTATCTCATAGTTACTATGCCTTGATTTCTCTTACTCTTCTTTTATTTGCTTTCCTTCATACCTTAGAACTGGAACTGGGCAGTGACATTCACAACCATACATACAGGAAAAAACACTATTCTACACACATGACATCAGGCTTGGGACCCAGCAGAACCAGCACTGGTCTGGTCACCTGACTCAGACTGGGACCAGCTTTCCCTTCCTCCTCCCTCAGCCCCTCCAGCTCTTTGTTGAGCCCCCCTACATCCTCCTCATCCTCATCAGTGGTGTCCCAGTCAGAAGGCACATCTGGCACAAGGAACTCAAAGCATTCCTCAATGTAGGTCTTGTATGACTGGGCAAACCAGTAGAAGTTCCAGGACACTTCTCTTTGTGCTGTCAAAAGACCAGCCATGTTGTTGGCCACATGCTCAACCACCTTGATCAGTCACTTCATCTGTGCACTGGTGATTGAACCAGTCCCCATGTTTTCACCAGTCATCTTGGTCACACTGGCCTTTGACATCAATGGCCCCTTGCCCATGTCTTCCTCCTTGTCACCTGTGCCCTCAAGTACCTTGGTGGATGGCCACTTCAACCTCTTTTTCTTCTCACCAGTGCAGGGGGAGGTCATGTCCACTTTCCACTTTCCCTTGTCCACAGCTGGACCAGCACCTGGACTGGTTTCACCTTTGACTGGCCACCAGCAACACTCCTTGAGCTCATTGCACTGGTTACAGGCCAGGTGCTTCTTCTTGCCATTGGTGTTGCACAGGCAGGTCATGTTTGTCTGGGCACAATGAAGACACCTGGGAAGGTGTCAGCCAGTTGCCTACCAGTCATTTGGTCATTACTCACTGGGGGTTCATCACCTCCATGCTTGACCTGGCCCCGGATGAGCTACCCACCAGGGTGTCTGCCCACTGGCTCTCAGTCACCTTCCTGGCTTCTTCAGCCTTGCACACAGCCTCTGCTCTCTGCACCTCTGCCTCTGTGTGCACCCTCTCCTCTTTGAGCCAGGCTTTCTCTTGCCTTTCAGCCTCCAACTGGGCTTCTTCCTGCATCTTTTCCTTGCACCTCTTGCACTCAGCCAACTTCCCCCAGATAGCCTGCTCATTATCATTGCTGCCTACCTGCAGCTCAACACTTGTCACCTGGGTCAGGTTGGGCAAGAGGCCTTGATCATAAGGTGTTTGGGACTGGTGAATAGACATGTTGAAGTGGGAAACCAAACCTGAGATGGACCAGTCTTAAGTCCACTGGTTTTCAAGGTCAGACACAAAAATTTTGTTCTCAGCATTGTCCTCATTGGAGCCTTATGGGCTTGGCTCCAAGAGGGGGATACTGTCATGACCATGTCTAGACCACCCTAGACCAGCTCTACCCCAGTCTTGACTGGTCTCATCCAACCCTTGCCCCAGTCCTGGCCTTAACCCTTCAACCTAGAAATGTGTTAGCTTGTGAGGCACTGCAAGGCAGTGCCCAATTGAGTTGTCCACTCAGTTAGTACTGGGCCAGTGTAACACCTGGCCCAGCCACAAGTCCTGCCCCAGTTCCCAGTAAAACCCTTGTTCATACTTTTGCTTGATAATATTCTTTGTAACATTACTTACCAATCAGTTTACCAACCATTGTTGTACCAGCGCAGACTGGTCTCTGGTGCTATGTTACACTTAGGTTACCTCTAGTATTTAAGCCATAGGATAATCTGTTTCAGCCTCAGTCTGAAATCAATCTAGTCTCATCTAACCCAGTCCCTTCTGTTCTCTGTCTTCTGCCTCTCAACCAGACTACAGCCCATGCAAGGGAATAGCACTGCACCTTCAGTTGCTAAGTCCAACAGTCCAAACCCTCTAGTTTCTTGTCTACCCTCTGATCCCCAACTGGACTCTGGACTGGCTTTGGACCAGTGAAGACCCAGACTTAACACTGTCATATCTGTCACATTCTGGAGGTCAAGAAATCTCTGGTTTACAAAACAATCAAACTTCATTCCTTGCTCAGCACAGTCACCAATCCCTATGCATGACAAGCTGTTCAACATCGCATAGTCAGCACACAAGATGTTGGATTTATCCTTGACATGCTCTGCCAGAATCCCACCCTCTATCTTGATGAGATTCAATTGGAACTTTGACTCTCTCATAACTTGCACCTTTCCATCCCTACACTTTGTTGCACACTCCAGCAACTCAACATCAGTTGCAAAATTGTATCAGCACCTGCTATTGAGTGGAACAAAAACAAGTGGGTGATTTTCATGAATCAGATTGCTGAGATTGTGCCAGACCCAAACATGTTCATGTCTGGTGATGAAGCAGCATGGGATCTGTGGACATTGTCTTGGAGACAAGGTTGCACATTGAAAGGTGTCCATTGCATGAAAGCCAAAGTTTTTGTGTGGGGAATCTGGTATTCAATCATTCCAATCATTACACTAGATGGAATCATCACCTATGACATTGTTCAGGGTCTGGTGACAAGTGCACACTTTCTAAAATTCCTTTAGGAATATGTGGTAGGTTGACTTATAGATTCAAATGATGATGCTGATTAGCCATTGAAGATAACTCTCACAACCCCTCACCCTGGTCCCAGGAGTGTCCTTGTGCTTGATAACTGTCGCATTCACCACACAGAAGATATCTGGAAGCTTGTTGAGGATGAAGCTTGTAGGCTTGCCTTTTATTTTTGGCCTTCCCATCACTTACATTGTGTGTAGAATGCCAGCTCATCTTTCTTCCTCCTTACTCTCCAGATTATAATCCTATTGAGATGGCATTCTCTGCCATCAAGGCTTTTCTTCAGCATCATCAGGATCCCTCTGTATTGTCCATTGTTGATGCATGTCAAAGCATCACTGCCAACAAGGCCAAAGGTTATTTCTGAGCTGCTGGATACATAACATAGGTAACAGTGGTGAGTATCTGGTCACATACTGCATGTGGTAAGTAGTTTGGTAAGTAGTTTGGTAAGTGTGCATCTAGACAGATGAACCTTTGTCATCTTCTCCCTCTTCTTCAACTTCCCATCCCTGAGGGATTGGAAGCCAATTTCCTTCTGCATTGTCACATTTATAGTACCAATCAAAATCCTTGAAATCTTCTTCTGCATGGGCCAGATCTTTTGGTTTCATGGGCCCAGCAGTGAGGTGACATCCACCTCCATCATGGTAATGCTTCTCATACTGAAACCTTCACTTGGAAGCAGAAGCTTCAGCTGACTCAGAATGTGTAGCACTATGCTTGTGCCTAGGCTCAGGGCCATTCCACCATGTAATTGAGCCTCATTTGAGGCAAATAATATCTCCAGGTGTGACACCAGCATCATGAAGGATAGCATCATCCATTTCTGAGAGGATGTCTGGACCAGCCCCAAGTTGCCATAGTGCTGGTTCAAGAAGTTGGGCATTCTGAACCCCTAGGTTAGCCTCAGCATGCTTGAGAAAGTGAGTTAGATTGGATGGCAACAGAATGATAGTTGGGTCAAGATTGGTTTCTGCAGAGTCAACTACCTGTGGGGCTGGGGCTGGAGTTGAATGATGAAGATGTTCCCTAGCCATGTCCAAGAGAAGGACAGAACTCAATGCAGTGATGTCAGCATTAGGAGAGGGGGTAACTGGAATAATTGAGGTCTGAAAATGATGTCCAGGATGAAGGGCAGGAACCTTGTTGACTGGGTTGAATGACTGAATATTGGGTGGATACAAAACAGTGGCTTCTCATTCATACTTTTGAATATGGTGAATCTTTGGACTGTTAGCCAGTGATGGAAAGTTCACTCACAATGGCAATAGCCCAATGCCTGATCATAAGAGGGGTGCAAGGGATGCTTACACCCATGGGATGGAGGTATGTCACAGAGTTCTCACTGGTGTTACCCCACTCCTTTGTAATCTGATGATGGAACAGTGCCATGTTCTCATCAAAATCATTGCTAGATTCCTTCAAAGTATCAGAGTCCTATATCATAAATTTTGCCTCAGTAGTTGCTATGAATTATGCATGTAGCATTCCTCACCTTTTTTTTTTTAACTCTGAATTAAAGTGCATGAGAGTATGTAAGTACACCCTATGCTGCACTATACTGGCTAGACCTGAGGTCCAGAGAGACTAATGAAGGGGGGCATCTATCATACTATCAATCTACACTGCCCAACACCACAAGGGCAGATGGAGGAGGACAGGCAGTAGTAGGGAGGTGAGAATAAGGAGGGGTGCTCCTGATTGGGACATATACCATGGCAATAACAGCAGGAGAGGGGGCCTCTTCCAACATGATTAAGTCTCCATTGGAGTCAAAACTGACATGGACAGTGCCCCATCTCTCAAACAACATGGAGACCACCCGGTATATGTCCTCAGGGAGTGATTTGGTGTAGGTGGGAACCATGGAGGAGTCAGTATGGCAGAGGAACACTGGGCAGAATTCATTGTCTAGTATGGGCACAGCCATGGGGGCAGTGCCTGGAGACTGTGGGGTTTGAAGGGATGCCTCATGGGCTTTTACAGAAGGCTTTGAACTCAGTCTGCAGGGCTGCTATCTGGCTGTGGAGCTCCACCACCTCTGCCAAAGGTTCCAAGGGGGGGGATCCCACTGCCAGGGTGGGGCTTGGAGAGTGATCTGGAGGGGGGAAGAGGCTTGTGGAGGGCCTGCTGAGTGCAAAGGTGCACCAGCATGTTGTTTTGGTATAACTTCATGAAATCAGGGTGCACCCACCCAGTCTCTGGCACCAAGGCAAGAGGGGTCAGTTGAGATTTGAAGGAGTGGAAGACAGAGACAATCCATTGGATTGCCTTGGGGCTGTCCTTACCACAGGTGATAGGGACAGTGGGTACTGGATGGATTTTTCCAGCATGGGGGCCATCCTTTATGGTCCAAGACCATGTGGGGGGTGGGCAGTGAGGTGATGAAGAACTGCATGAGGGACAGCTGGTGGTGCAAACTGGGATCTGAAGGTACCTTTAGGGAAGGCATGAAAGCACCTCCCCACCTCAGTGAGGAGGATTGGGCAGGGGGCTGGAGATGAGCATTGGTGCTTGGTAGCAGTGTGGGGCTTTCCCTCAGGGGATGATGGCAGTTGCTGATCAAGAGGCATCCTCAGCATTCCTCACCTCATCCCTGGTGTTGGAGCCATCTGAATCATCATCTATGTCCTTACTTTTTTCCCACACTAGGAGTGAGCACTATACAAAGTCCAAGCAGTGATTACCTTGTGATGTGCAAGCTGTTTGTGAACATGTTTCATGTCTATGAAAACTTGAACCTTGTCAGGTGTAGTCTCAATTATCTTTTTTGCCATCTCAGCAAATTCTTCTGCATTGTCAATGTCCATAGCATCTGTGCAGCTGTACAACACTGATGTGGGTAAAAAGAAGCATGGAACACAAAAACAAGTAGTACACTTTGGCAGGGGGGCATCAGATACATGAGAGAGTATGTACCCCCTAGACCATCCCCTTGCCAAACCACAGATGCATATGTCAAGAATTGAAAGAGTGGGGACATGATTCATGTGATAGCACAGCCACAGTAAGGTCCAGCATGCACTCAGGGGCAAGTTAGTCATGTGCTTAGGTACATAGTGCCAGTTGTGAGGTAGGTTCAGTCATGTGGCCTCACATGACTCAGAATTCACACAGCCACATGACCACTGGGACCATAGGATCAGCCACTCCCATGACCTAGGGACCTGGATCATGTGATCATAAGTGTCAGTTCAGTCATGTGATATCACATGATCACTGATTGACCTCAGCATGTGACTATTAGGTGCACATGACTGATCAATGTCATGACCTGGGGTCCCAAGTCATGTGATTCAACAGCATGTGACTGACAACTCCCACAACTTCATTGCAAATAGTTGCATGACCTAGATCATTTGACTGGGACAGTGCAATGTCACATGACCATTATGTCATTGATCATGTGACTGTTGCACTCTGACTCACACTGCACTTTTCATAGTCAGTCATAGTCAAAGACATATGCTACCAAAGTGTAGCATAGCCTACACTATGCAGTACTACCAACTACTACAACTAGGACTAGTAGGTGTTAATACCCCAGCAAGTGATAATGAGGTGATGTCATCATAATGAAAGTTGTAGCTCCTGATTTTGAAATCATGATGGTATGCTTATCTTATCAGAAAGTAGAAAAATGCATGAGTAAAACACAACACACTTGTGATCAGTGCCATGCCAGGAATATCAATGGCTGCCCTGAAGTCCCCAGGCATGGTGCTGGAGAAAATAACTTTCCATGGCAGCAGCTGGGTATACCCAACCTGTTTAGACATCATAGGTATATAAATCTATAGAAATATATAGACTTAATGGGTCTCCAAAGGGGATTGACTGAAGTGCTTGCAGCCTCCAAAGCTATCATGGGACATCCCATTGGTCTCCAGAAAGGGGAGTGGGATGTCCCACAGTAGCCACTGAAGCTATCATGGGACATCCCAATGGTCTCCTGAGAGGGGGATAGGGTGTCCCATGGTAGCTTCTGAAGTTATCATGGGACATCCCACTGGCCTCCAGAGAGGGGAGTGGGACATCATTTAGCTTGAATGATTTGGAGAAAAACTTAATGCTTATGAAAATGGGTTACCTGAAGTGTACTTGGCTCACAATCTTGGTTATATGTGTGAAATCAGCCTATGTTTTTTTATAGATGTATATAGCAGTAGAACTACTCTAATTTTTATAGAAGAACCTGAATCTAATTTACCTGGTTCTGAATCTGCAAAAATACTGGAAATCTGACTTGAATTGATTGAGATATTCAGGTTATAAAATTTAGCTGTCACATATGTCTCTCTTGGACTCAAGCCCAGTCCAGTCCAGGCCCCTAGCCCCTATCTCCAGTCAACTCTGGCCTAGATAACTCAAGTCTGGAACTTTACCCCTATCTCCAGTCCACTCTGACCTCTCAGCCTTGCACTGCTCCACCCCAGACCTCCCAGGTCCATGTCCAGGTCACCTAGACATAACTCAGGTCTGTTTCCCTTTGTTTGTGCTATATTTAGTCTAGTCCTCTCATCTGACCTCTGCTTACTGTACAAAACCTGTTCTGACTCTAGTTATGCTGCTCGCCTGGAGTTTGACTATTAGTCTTGGCACAGCCTCTGTGGCTGTCCTCTCTTGCTAATCATCTTCCTAATAGCTTACCAACAAGTCCAGCTCTATGTTCATTACTCCAGACTGGTGTGAAGAAAGATAATGGAGAGGATTGAGGATGGAATACCAGAATCCAGGAGGGAGAGTAAGAAAAAAGGGGCTCCTATAGCCTGAATGAAGGAAGGATGGGATGGGAGACTGTCTAGGTCAGTCTGGGGCAGTCTTAAGTTTGTTCTTGTCTTGGGGATAACTCATCTATTGGTGACAACTTACAGTAAGAACAAACTGTAGGTAAGTGCTGACTAAGCACAAAAAAGCGAACTATACAACTAAAGTATAGTACTCCTAACATTAAGTAAGGAAACAACAAAACAGGAATTAATACCCAATCCTTTAGTAAGGAGATCTGTCTCCTTACACTGGCTTCATGTATTTAACCCCTGTACACACTCTGTAGTACTCCAGTCAGAATATCACCTATGTATTACCCTCAACCCTGTATTACCCTCCAAGTCTACTCAATAGCTAAGGCCAAGCCTTAGTCTATCCTCTGCCCCTGTCTTGGACCTCTTCCCAGCTTGCATAAGGGTACAGCACATAAGCTGAGACCAAGGGAGGTAGATCCAACCCTGGACCAGCTTCCCCCTGTGTGCACTCTGAGACTGGTTGGTTTCCCATGCTCCTGGCCTTGACTCTGGACCTCCAGACTTGGCCCCTGTCTCCCAGCCTTGACTCTGGTCAACTGGACTTAGCCCTTGTCACTGAGACTTGAAGCCCAGTCACCTGAAGGTAAACCCATACTTGACATTAGCTACTACATGTGTGTGATTTTGTTCCTTTAGCTGCACCCTCAGTTTTGAAGATGGCCATAATTTGAAGTAGCTCCAAAGCACTATACATTGTGACACACTCAAGTTACATTGTAAGATGCTACATTTCTAGGCACAATGACTACATAGGTATGATTTTGTGGACAAGGTGATCTTTACCACAAGTAATGAATTGATGAGAATGTGCAAGTGGTTTGTTCAGGTTCATTATATTTGAAAACATATGCCTCTTACAATCCATACCAACCCAGCCAAATTGCAATCCTTTGAAGCGATTGATAGCCTCATTCAAACACCATGGGTTGCTTCCATCAAGGAGGAGTTGCCCCATACTGTTCCACCACACCACAGCCCAATCCTCTGCACATCCTTTGTGATCCTGACAGCTGTCAGAATGCACAATGGGGGGAAATTCTGCAGCAACCATGTGGATATACTCATCCAGGTTGGACTTGACATAGACATAGGTGACATAAGTATCCATCCCCATCCAGACACAGTGAGACTTTTTAATCTTCATCAGCAGGACTTTGCAAAGCCTTGTAAAACCTCTTTTGAAGATGGCCCAGATCTTGTACTCAATGCCTAGATAAACAAGTGCAGAAGGATGGAAGAAATATGCTCTCTTGATGACACAAGAAGTGACAAAGCTGAGCATATGGACACTGCATTGGAAATGGCAGACAAATTCCAGCAAGTTCTTGAGGTCATCCAAGGAATATTTGGCAGAAGGACTGGGACTAGAATGAGAAAATTCAGTAGGGGTCTCCATCAGGGGAGTGCTCAGAGACTTACCACATGAACTTGAATTCAACAAACAAGTCAAAAATTTGTGCAGTCAAATTTTTGCCACCAAGAATAATTGGCTGCCCATCAACCTTCCCCTCCTGGCTGTCTGGCACATATTTGTCAAGTGAAAAGATGTCAGCAAAGAGTTCGGACTCATTCACCAAGATGTCATGATTGCCACTTTACACTATTAAGACAGCATGAGGACTTGGTGAGCAAGCTTAAAAAAATGGCTCCCAATGCTATCAGCCTAACATACACATTCATGTTTAGTTTTGATGAAACATAGAAATACCAAAGCTGGTAGCAGAAGTTCACACTGGTTTATGAGGATGGCCAAGGAAAGTCATCTATATCAACTTTCTCAAGGAGGTCATTTCAAATTCAAGACAAATTCATTCCACTGAACTCATGTGCCTTCTTGGAATCCATCAAAATACTCTGTGCCTTTACGTAAGGTGCCATGGCATTGAATGGAGATACACTGAGATTAGCAATGTGGACCTTGGCAATTTCATTGAGGAATTTAAGAAGAGATGGCTGGAATTTGGACTTTGTTACATCATTGGGTTCATGCAGCCACAGGGGGTTTGCATGCAGTATTGCCATGTAATCCAGTTGCTCTCTACAGTGGATCACCTGGGTCAAGCTTTTTGAGACTGCTGTATGAAAACTAGGCACAAGTATCATGTCAAGTGGCTCAATGTGTTATAGCACATGGATGTCACCACAAATTGATTTGGGGAGGATTGTTATCTATTCATTCATTGATGGGTTTTGCCACATGGTACCTTTTTCAGTTGTCCAACTTGCAATATTTGTTGATTTGTTCTTGATTCATTCTTAGGTTACTGTGATACATGCTAGTGATGATAACTGGTCAGCAACCATCCTACATGTATTTAAACAAGTGATTGAAGATTATAGCAGGCCTTCCCACATATGTGGAGACTGCAGTGGTGAGAACCTTGACATTGCAACCCACATCATTATGAGGAATGGCCACCACCAAGGCTCATTTATCTGGGGAATTTAAGTATATTTTACATTATTTTTGCATTCATCATTGCTAATCACATATGAATCTAGATCAACTCAAAATTGTCATATTGAGCATTTGTGGGTCAAAGTTGGATCTCAGTTCACCAGACACTGGTGTGCATTCTTCACTCAGCTTGAATGAATTCACTTGCTTGATGTTAACAATGCATTGCATATCTGGTTACTTCATATACTTTTCCTTGACAATATCAATCATAACTGTCAGGTGTTTTGAGAGGAGTGGAGTTTCCACCTAATAGGTAGCCCAAGTGCTAACAACAAGAGTCCCAGGGTGAGATTTGAGTTTCATTAGTTTACTACTCTACTCATCCTGTGATATACAAGGATATGAGCCTGTTAGGTCAAATCAGGTTTGGCTTATACCAATATCATGAAGATCTCAAAGGACTTGGCCTCACTAATAATGAAGTAATGGATACAGTCAATGTGATTTCATGTCAACAGCAAGTACATATTAACCATGAAGCTGTGCATGTACCCTCACTTCAGAATCCCTTTAGGAGTGATGAAGATGGGCTAATTTTTTTCAGTGGCCTTCATGAGGTAATTGCTCAAAACATCACACTGGAGAACTTCAGGTTGATACCAACAGAGTGGGGGTTGGATGGATATCTGATGATTGGAACTAAATGCATTGGTTGATGTGCAGCCAAAGACATGGACTTGTCATTAGCAGACTCAATTTGGTATTCCCAGGCACATCTATTGTGCCAGGCTTTATCCACATTATCATTTCACTTACTAAGCCTTGAACCTTGATCTAGTATGTTAGCAGCAATTATAAATTGCACAAGGTTCTGTTGGCCTGCCTTCATGCTCCATTTGTTCTTGCTCATATCAATGCCAGCCAAGGAGGGTCTCTGCTGGGGCAGTGATGGTAATTGTGACTGTCAAGCTCTTTTCCCCAAAAAGGCAATGCTACCCACTGCTTGGAGTGTCTGCATGGGATAAGCAAGCACTGCAATGCTGATGGTACCTCAGTTGTGACCCAACCTCACCCAGCTGTACCTGGCTTGTCAAATGTTGCAACAATATTAATATTTGAAGGCTTTGCTAACAAATGTCCCACTGGTTTGTCTCAGGCTGCTCAATTGCATCCCTGTCATGAGGCACTAGCAACAAAAAATTCAAAGCTAGTTGCAAAGGTAACCTCCTCTACCAAGCACAAGGCAAGTGTTTCTGGTGGTATATCAGGATTGTTCATATTGGGTAATCTATTCTAGGCTTCATCTCAGAGGCATGCAAGTAGTCCAAATTTCATGTCAGTGCTTTTGCCATTGTGACTTGCAGATTGGATGTCACAAATTGAAATCAATCAAGGCTAACAGTCAATTGCTGAAAGACACCTTACCCCTACCACTTGCGGAGAGGAAGATATTCATCCAACAACTTGAAGATCATGGAAGTTACCTGCAACAAACAATCAAAATTGACACATTGTGGTCCCATGACAATGTCACTGGGTGACCCATCTTCATTCTTGGTTCCCCAGAGTCATTGATCATTTTGATGCACAGCATGAGCAGGCTAATATGGCTTACCAGACTCAGCCTGACTGGCAACTCCTCATTCCAAATAATGGGAAACTTGAGCTCTCCACAGCTGTCTGCCCAAATGGTATTGTTCTTGCTTGTTTCAAGGGATGTCAGAAGGCAAGTATTGCCAATAGTAACTTGTGGATTGGTATGTCACTACAGCATGATAGTTGTGATCACTTATATTTTTTGAACAGTTACCCAAAAGCCAGTCCCACCTGCTGTTTTCAACAAATGGAAAGTTGAATCTGACATTGTGGGAATGGACATCAAGGCAATGAGTGATCATGGAAGTGAAGTGATTGAACTCTCAAGTGCTGTTGCTGAGCTCAACATCCACACCATGGCTGAGACAGGTAACAACTTCCAGCACTATCATCTTTACTAATAGAATTAATGGGTTTTCTTTGAGTAGGCAAGAGGTCTCACTCAATCACCATCTTATCCTCCCCCAAGGTGACAGATTGGAAGTGTAGGAAAAAATGAAAACAAAGTGAGAAGTAGCTGAGGCAGGGAGTAGATATCTGAAGGAAGTGAGTAGGGCCAAAAGGGGCTTCTATAGCCTGGGACTGGAGTGATACAATGTCTGGAGGCTTCTAAGGCTGTCTGGGTGCAGAGAAATGACCTGCTTGATTTTGTCTCTTGTCTTAGGGTAACTCATCTATCATTTTAAGAAAAACCAACTATGCCAATCACTAGGTAGTGCTGACTAAGCAAAAAAAGCGAAATTCTAAGAATAACTAGCAGAGGGATAGCTAGAATGAAAATAAAGTAAAATCAACAAAATAAAACTATTCCCCCCATAGGGAAATTACATTCCCTACAGTGGTCCTTCTGCAAGAAACACAAGGATCGTAAGTCATGTGTTCCCAGTTCTATGATGACATGCTAACTGAGCAATATCTACAGTTAACACAAACACACTGCCCACCTGGCCTTGTCAACCTGCAGGGCCCATTTTGTATCTTCAGAAATGAGGGAAATATGTTGAAAACTGGACTGCCATACATAGGCACTAAGAGCTTTCATGGGCACTTAACTTGCTTCCTTCTCTTTTCTTTATGTGAAGGATGACCACTAACACTCCTGGCTGTCTTCCTACACATTGGGGCTCTAGTCTGACCTCAGTCAACCCCCTTTGGGGAGCTATTAGGTCTGGAAACTTTGATAGATGTATTAACCTAATGGTGTTACTTTGTTGGGAATTCACAACTTTTGGGGTTCTCCACCACCATGCTTGGAGATTCTCCAGAGCAGTGATTTAATATGGTTGGAGAAAATGATTTCTCCATAATACATATATATATATACATATCAAATGAAAGGGTAGTGGGGGTCCAAATTGGGCTTTCTCCAGGCTAAATAGACCCCCTTTCCAGGTTGGACATGGGCTTTCCCCAGGATAAATAGACCTGCTTTCCAGGTTAACCTAGGCTTTCCCCAGGCTAAATAGACATACATGCTAGGCTGAACCTGGGTTTTCCCCACAGTAAATAGACCTGCTTTCCAGGCAGAACATATGCTTCCCATAGGCTGAATAGACCACTTCAGTCAACCCCCTTTGGAGACCTATTAAGTCTGGAGATTTTCCAGAGCAGTGACTTAATATGGTTGGAGAAAACATTTTCTCCATAATATATATATATATATATATATTATACATCAATTGAAAGGGTAGCTGGGGTCCACATTGGGCTTTCTCCAGGCTAAATAGACCCCCTTTCCAGGTTGAACCTGGGCTTTCCCCAGGGTAAATAGACCTGCTTTCCAGGGCAAACCTAGGCTTTCCCCAAGCTAAATAGACCCACTTTCCCAAGCCATGTCCTGGTGGGGATTCTCCATGCATCAGGAAAGCAGTGACTGTTCTAACTGTTCTAATCACAACTTATCTCAGAAAGGTAGATGTATAAGTGGAATGGATGCCAAGGAACATATACAGCAAGTAAATTAAGCAAGACACTTATGGTTCTATAGAGTACTGTGAATCAAGAGTTACAGTAATATAGTGGCATGAAGATATCAATAAATCACTTACAGACCACATTAGGACCACTGAAAAAAAAGTGTGTCAGTAAGACAGCATGAATTAGATGATGTTAGACAATGAGCACTAAATGCAAATATCAAGACATCATTAGATGCAATGTAGACTATTAGACCACTTGGAAAAAGTGTTGTTTGCCTGATGCAGACCACTGGGGATTCTTCATGTCATGTTGGGGAGTTTCCATGGCATGATGGAGATTCTCAATGGCCCCTGGGGATTCTCCATGTCATGATGGAGATTCTCCATGGCCCCTAGGGATTCTCCATGGCATGCTGGGGATTCTCCAGTCCTAATTGACATTGAGGTCCAGTGACATCCTGTGTAAATACTCATGTTTTTCTAAGTATTCTGTGTTTTTCTCATGCAATCTTCTTCACTTTCTGATGAGATAAGCATACTGTCATGATTGCACAATCAGGGGCTACAACTTTCATTATGATGACATCACTCCATTGTCACTCCCTGTGGTATTTGCACAGTCTGATTACAAGTAATAGTAGTTATTAGTGTTGTGTAGTGTAGGCTATGCCACATTTTGGTAGTGCACATTTTTGACTACCACTGACTATGAAAAGTGTAGTGTTGAGTGGTAGTGGTCAAGTCACATGACAACAAATTACATGATAACATGATCCTTATGGTCACTTGGCAATGTGACCCTATGTCACATGATAACATGTGACTGTACTCACCTCATGTTCAACACTATGAACCTCACCTAACTAAGCCACCTCTAAGTGCATGCTTCCCCATACTGTGGCTGTGCTTGTCACAACCATGTTTATCCTAGGTCCCCACTCACTCCCCATGCTACTCCACTGGTCACTGACTCACTCTGCACCAACTACCTGTCCTCTATCATTTATGAGCCTTCTCCACTCTTTCTACTGTCAGACTTGTACTGGTCTACTATCAGACCATGTAGACCATTCTCCAAGAGGTCAATTGACCTTCTTTTGGCCTTCTTCTTGACACCACACAGTCAGGTACTCCACAGTGTGTGCACCTTGTGGCCCAGCATCTAGCTGTTTCCTTTCTGGTCTGCCCTATGTTACCTGTTGTATCTTCTCCATCTTCCCTTCATTCACTGTCCAGGAAGTTTTTAGTTGAAAATTTACAAGTCTCCATATGTCAGTTCTGATTCTGGTTACTGTACCTCCATAGTAGTATAAAAGCATGTACAGTACTCCATTGTTCCTCAGTACAAATATCCCCTAAGTTCCTACTCCATAGCTCCTCTGTCCTCTGTCTGTTGGAGCTATCTCCAAACAGCTGTCTGGTCTCTTCCTCTGAAATATGAGGGCCAAGATCATGCAAGGAGGTATCACACAAGCTAAACCTGACATCCTCACTCCATCACTTCTGCCTTGGCAGACTTTGTTCCTGCCAACCCTCTGCTAGATGGAGTTCCATTTGTCTGTGTTGGACTTGCTTCTGCACCTCTCCCTAGACCCTGTTAAGCATTGGAGTTGGTCAGAGTAGACCCAGACTTGACAGTATATTTGTACTCACACTTGTACAATCTCATTTTCTGTCCTCTGAAAAACTTATGCCATTATGAGAACTTGAGCTCAATCCCAAAGAGAGGTCACCAACAACCTTGTCGCAGTGCTGGCTAATCCACATTATCTACCTTCCATTGTTGAACAATTCCAAACATTCTCTGCTCAATACCACTCCTGCACTGAAGCTGTAAGTGCTTCACAAGCTGGTTGCTCTGACCTCCATCTGACAATCTTCCACACTCCATCACCTCACGATCAAGATGATAGACCCAATACCAACCCCAATGATCCTGATGGTGCTTCTGATGGCAGGGGCAGCAGTGACAGGGGTATCCCTGAAGACCTGGCTGAGCTGCCAGAAGACCCCCTCATTGCTCTGACTAGGGCTATTCATGTGCTTGTGTGGCCTGGTCCACACACTTGGTACTCTGCTCTAAAATCTAAGGTCTGCAAGCCTCATACCTACAACAGCTCTGACCCTAGGAAACTTCATGAGTTCCTTGTTCAAAGTGAGTTGAACTTCCAAGACCCCTGTGCATTCTGCTCTGACAGAGCCAAGGTTACCTTCACTCAGTCCTATCTGAAGGGTATGGCTCTGGCTTGGTTCAAGTTGGACCTGCTAAACCCCAAAGACTATGACCATCCACTCTGGATGGATGACTACCATGAGTTCTTACATGAGCATCCTTGCACTCTGATATCATCTCTGCCCTGCCCCCTGACCCTGTCTCCACCAGCCATCTTCCTACTCCAACTAAGCCTTGGTGGTCCTTGGACTCCAATGGTCTCCTCTGCCTTGACAGTCATATCTTTGTCCCTGACATTGGTGACCTCCACCTTCAAGTGCTTTGGTTCAAGCATGATCATCTTCTGGAAGGCCATTCCAGGCAAAACTGCATCCTAGAACTCATCCACAGAGACTACATATGGTCTGACTTCCACTCCAATGTGAAAGACTATGTCAGGTCCTGCACTGCCTGTAGATGGAGCAAAACTCTGCATCATGGCCATTTCTGATGGACCTAGCAAAATGAGCATCTGACAGATGGAGTGCTGTAGAAATGCATAGGGTGTGAGGATCCTCTCCAAATTCAGAAGGCAGAATCATGTGGCTGAGCACTTCAAGCAAGTGTGAGAACAGAGTCAATATCCTTAAAAATGGTGGAGATATGATGAGAACCAGATGCTGTACACAGGTGCTAAAAACTTTTAATGTGTGCTTAACTTGCTTCCTCTTTTCTCTTTAGCACTGATGACTCATTCTTGTGCAAAGGATGACTGCTCATGTCCAGCAGTCCTTCTACACATGAGGCTTTAGTCTTCATCTGCATGGCATGGGTGCACAACTTGTTGACAAGTTATGCAGAGTCAGCTGTAACCATGTCCACAACACCTTTGGTGTGTGACAGCACAGTGTAACAACATTCTTTGGTTGCCTCAGGTCTGTCATTCAGTTAGAAAGGTCTTACATGGTCATTTCAGTCTCTCCAGTCCAAGAAGCATATAGATCCTTCCTCACTGCTCCCTGCAACATCTTCATACCAGCCTCATCCATCATTCTTCCAAAATTGCAACAGTTACAGTATAATCTACTGTTCTCCACTCTCCCTGATTGCATCCATAATGAGTATGATGCACATCTCATCTTCTTGTTGCAAGATACAGCAGAAGATGCTCCCCCTTCATCCTCTCTTCCAACAGAGTCTCATTCATGAATTTTTTATTTGCTTCACTAAGAGGACAGTTGGGGGGGGGGGGGGGGGGGGGAAATGTGATCCCCTATGCTCCTGTCATCTCACAGACCCCCAAAATGTGACCCCTTGTGACACCTACCATCCCCTTTTTGGATGTCCTGTGTCAGCATCAGATCAGCACTGCCTCTCTGTCATCCCACCTTGGCCTAGAAGCAATCTCTTTGAGATGTGATGTGCACAGCCTCCCCCTAATGTGATTCCAGTGTGCTTTCACACACCAAAGGTGTAGTGGACATGGTTACAGCTGACTCTGCATAACTCATTGAGGAGTTGCATACCATGCCATACAAATGAAGACTAAAGCCCTCATGCATAGAGGGACTGCTGGATGTGAGTAGTCATCCTTTGCACAAGAACAAGTTGTCAGTGCTAGAGAGAAAAGAGGAAGTGAGTTAAGCACACATCAAACATTTTTAGCACCCATGTACAGCATTCCAGTTTTCTTCATATCTCCACCATTTCCAAAGATATTGACTCTGTGCTCACACTCCATCAGATATGGCTGCCTCTTCATCAATCATCTTGCTTGTGTCTTTTGCCAGAGACATTGGCTACATATATCTGCCAGGCATTCCCACCAGCTTCCATCCTGAAGCCCCCTGGTTCATTCCATCATTGTCAGCCCCATGCCATCCCATGCAGCTTGGTCAGTGTGTTCTCCTTGTCAGTATGACTTCCAGAAGGATGTTCTTTGGTCAGCTCAGGTCTGTCACTCTGTTTCAGAGGTCTTATGTGGTCATTTCAGTCTCTCCACTTGATGAAGCATATGGGTCCTTCCTCCCTGCTCCCTGCACTGTCTTTATTCCAATCTCATCCATCATTCTCCCCACATTGTGACAGCTCCAGTATAATCTACTGTTCTCCAGTCTCCCTGATCACATCTGTGACAAGTATGACATGTGTCTGGCCTTCTTACTGCAAGACCCAGCAGAAGATGTCCCCCCTTCTCCCTCTCCTCCATCAGAGCCCCATTTATGAAGCATTTATTGACTTCACTGAGAGGATGAATGGGTGGAAGATGTGATTTCCTATCTTTTGGTTCAGAGATGTCTCCACCAAGATCTGACTTGCATTGCCACCCCCTAATGTGATATCAGTGCACTTACTCAGTTTCTGACATACTTTGACTCACACTGTGATATTTTGACTGTCCTTGACTTGTTTATTGCCAATACTTACCAATCCTCTTTGCTTGCTTACTTTTCATTTCTTGCTTACTCATCATGATTACTCCTTGCTTACAGTCCTTACTCATTACTTACCAAGTGTTTGTACCTTGTTTGTCATAGGCTGCACTTCCCCCACAGTATATAAACCCCCCTGTACTTAGCTATAACCCAAGCGATCAGAAGTTGCTCCACAGTTGGTTCAGCTCATCTCAGGCATAACTTGTTGTCAACAGTTGAGGCTCATTCAGAAGAGTCTACCTGTCCCCATTCATCATCAGCAGTATCATCAGTGCTTAGTCAGCAACTTTTGCTTAGTCATTCCTCCACTCCTGCATAACTCATTGCTGACTTGTGCCAGGAGCACTTCCTATTGAAGCTCATCACTCCAGTCAGCATCCCCCTCACAGTCATCCCTCACTCATCTACTCCTGTGTAACTTGTCAACAACTTACACCAGGAGCAATCCACTTGAAAAACCCCCCCACTTCAGATTTTTCTGCCCTCCAGGTACTGTGGAGGCAAACCACCACTCACTTTTATTTGTCTTTTGTGTTGGTTTTTGGTTGGTTCACATCAGCTTTCCACACTCTGACTCACAGCACTTACTCAGTTTCTGACATTGCTTGACTCATATTTTGAAATTCCATCTGTCCTTGACTCACCTATCACCAATACTTACCAATCTTTTGACTTTGCTTACTGATTCTTTGTATTTTGGCTTATTTATCCTTACCAATGCCCACCAATGCTTTCTAAGTCAATTACCCACCACTTACATTCCTGACTTATCACTTACCAATCACTTACCAAGTGTTTACATCTTGTTTTCCATAGGCAATGCCCCTGTACTGTATATAAATCACTGTACTTAGATAGCTGAAAGAAAAATAAGACATCAGAGAGCCCCTCTTGCTTGCATTTCATTATCTCTCAGTAATTCATTCATCAGCTTCAATAGTTGAGACTTCATTAAGGGTCTAATTATTGCCTACTTTGCCTATTGATGCCTATCATCAATTATCTTTGCATCCAGACCTTCCTGGGTTCAGAATAGCCTAGGACATTGGTGTGAGTCAAAGTGTGGTTCAGTGGTGAAAACCAACCAAAACCAACACAAAAGACAAAAAGAGCGAGTGGTGGTGTGCCTATGCAGTACCTAGATGGTAGAACCTGTTCTTTGGGAGGGTTTTTGCAAGCTACAACACTCAAAGACAAGTGCTGAGGGTTGGGGGTGCTCCTGATGAAGAAGAAGCAGGAATGCAAGAGAATTGCAATAGGGTAGACTGCTGTCAGCCTACAGAAGGATGGATGATGACTTAATTCAATGTCCTAAGCTGCACTGAGCTCAGGGAGGGCTTGGAGCCAAGTATATTGATGATAGACAAGGATAAGTGAAGTAGATGATAGTTAGACCCTTAACAAAGTCTCAACTATTGAAGCTGCTGAATGAATTACTGAGTGATGATAAAATGCGAGCAAGAGGGGCTCTCTGACATCTTTTTTTTTTGCTATCTAAGTACAGTGATTTATATACAGTACAGGGGTGTTTCCCTTGGAATACAAGGTGCAAACACTTGGTAAGTGACTGGTAACTGATGAGTAAGGAATGTAAGCAATGGGTAATCATCTTGGAAAGCATTGGTAAGGATTGGTAAGGATTAGCAAGCCAAAAAGCAAAGAATCAGTAAGCAAAGTCAAAAGACTGGTAAGTATTGGCAATAGGTGAGTCAAAGACAGTCAGAACATCAAAGTATGAGTCAAGTAATGTCAGGAACTGGGAAAGCACACTGGAATCACATTAGGGGGAGGCTGTGCATGTCACATCTCAAAGAGATCACTTCTAGGCCAAGGTGGAATGACAGAGAGGCAGCACTGATCTGATGCTGATATAGTACATCCAAAAGTGGACAGGGTGAGTCAGATGTCAACAGGGGTCAAGCTTTGGGGGTCTGTGGGGTGACAGGAGCATAGGGGATCACAACTTTCCCCCCCAAACCATCCTCTCAGTGAAGCAAATAAAAACTTCATGAATGAGGCTCTGTTGGAAGAGAGGATGAATGGGGAGTGTCTTCCACTGTATCTTGCAACAAGGAGGCAAGATGTGCATCATACTCATCATGGATGTGATCAGGGAGAGTGTGGAACAGTAGATTATACTGTAGCTGTTGCAATCTTGGAAGAATGATGGACAAGGCCAGTATGAAGACATTGCAGGGAGCAGGGAGGAAGGATCCATACACTTCTTGGACTGGGGAGACTGAAACAACCACATAAGACCTTTCCAAGCAAATGACAGACATGAGGCAACCAAAGAATGTCCTCCTAGAGGTCATACTGACAAAAAGAACACACTGTCCAAGCTGGATGGGCTGAGAGGGCACAGACAAGGGTGGGGTGTACCAGGATGCTTCAGGATGGAAGCTGGTAGGAACTCCTGGTAGATATATGTAGCCATGGTCCCTAGCAAAGGGGACAAGTGAAATGATTGATGTAGAGGCAGCCATATCAGAAGAAGTTAGTGAAATGAGCATCTTTTGGAGGGAGTGCTGTAGAAATGTGTGGAGTGCACAAATCCTTTCCAATTTTGGAAGGTAAGATCGCATGGCTGAGCACTACAAGCGAGTGTGGGAATGGTCTCTGTATCTGCAGAAATGGCAGAGATATGTCAAAAACCAGAATGCTGTACACAGGTGCTTAAGAATTTTAGCCAGCGCTTAACTCACTCCCTTTCTTTTTCTCTGGCACTGATGACTTGTTCTTGTGCAAGGGATGACTGCTGACATTTCTGGCTGTCCTTCTTCACATGAGGGCTATGGTCTTCATCTCCATTCATCAGCTGTATCCATGTCCACCTCACCAAACACCTTTGGTGTGTGACATTGGATTGAGTCATCATCCATCCTTCTGTGGGCTGACTGCAGTCTTCCCCATTGCAATTCTCTTGCATTCCTGCTCCCTCTTTGTCAGGAGCACCCCCAACCCTCAGCACTCATCATTGAGTGTTGTAACTTGCAAAAACCCACCTGAATAAGACCTTCTACCATCTAGGTACTGAATAGGCACACCACCACTTGCTTTCTTTGTCTTTTGTGTTGGTTTTGGTTGGTTTTCACCACTGAACCACACTTTGACTCATAACAAGAACTGGCATGAAAGCAATGCAGCACCATGCATGTGATGATGCCTGCATCCTCACATCAGACTGGTGTTGCCAATCATAATAAAGACTGGGTGCATTTCCAGCCCTCCAGTGTGCCTCATCACTAGGGTCTTGTCAGAGGCAATAATGATGGGGATGATGGTTGCACCCTGAGGAAGCTGCACCTGGAATAAACAAAGATAAGTGATGAGGCAGTCACAAAGCATAATCTGCACATACTTGGATGTCAAATGCATGCATTGCTGTGAAAAACTCACTATACTCCCTTTCTGGTCCTTGGAAGACCATGTATGGGTCATAGGTCATGTAGTTTGCAAAGATGGGATTGGAGAAAAGATCCTTGATGACCTTGAGGGCATCCCACCATATGAGCTGAATGGGATGTATGGATTTACAGCCTTTGAATTCTACTGTAGTCCTGCACCATTGTGAGCCATGAGGTAAACTTGCCATCCACCCAAGCAATTGATCTTCTGATTTAAATGATGGCTTAACCCAAGTTTTGAACTAAGGATATCATTAGCAACAAAAATCAGAGTCTCAATAGCCTTACCCATTTGAGCTTGAGAAACTGATTCATCTGTGATGGAGTGAAGTTCAATGCCAGGAACTTTGCCAGTTCCCATTCACCCTCATCTGCAAAGGGATAGTACAGTTGATTTTGATGTCATCATTCATGTTCACTAGCCTTCATCTGGTCAAGGAAAGTTTCATCTCTATTGTAGATATATCCAGAGGTTGGATAATAGTGACCCATAATGTCATTCTCCTCAAATCCATGCTGGAAGGCTGGCAGCACAGGAATGTGCTGCACTGGGATTGCATCAGTACAGACCCCCCCTTCAGTTTTGAGGTGATTTAGTAGTGCAGTGGGTGAAGGAAATATTGCCTGACATCCAAGACAATCAAAGGTGATGCTCTTACCATCATTGCTCATAGATGCCATGATACTGCAGATGAGAGGTTAGTGTTGCTTGTTACTCTGAAATTCTCTAAGTCCTTCAATTTCTGACAGAAACTCTGCTATGTGGCAAGTAACAATAACATATCTGTATCTGGTGAGAGTATGATGATGACTGCTATGTCTGCTGGTACTGTACCCTCAGTCCCCCAACTATCATTGTCTCCACACTCCTTGTCCAAATCTAGTCCAAAAGCTAATTTCTCACTGCTGCTTGTTCATAACAACATCCTTTTTTCACCATTGTGCAAACATCCAAGCCTGAGCAGCTTCAACAAAGAGGGACAAGAACTGTTGAATGCACTGCCTGGAAGGAGCATCATATCACTGACTTCATGCTCTTCCATGTCTTCTGTGTCTCCTCATGGCTCAAGTCCCTCTCTCTGGAGGCACATCCTAGAGGCACAAAGCCACATGCATACCAAGTACCACCCATACAGTGAGGGACAAAAGTGTTGCAATGTTTGTGAGGTGTGACTTGTTGCTGATGTAGCTCAGGCTATTCTGCACAGATAATCATGATACCCATACCGATGGAAAGGGGTGACTCTAAGCTTTCCAGAGCACTAAGGTTCAGTCAACACAAAGCAATACATGCTGAGATACACCCTATTCTTTCTGAAAAGTGCATTGCAACACTTTTGTTCCTGACTGGTGAAATAGTGAAAAGTGACCTTTTGATGGGATTGAGGGCATGAAGGATGGGAAAATATGATTACATAATAAACCACATGATCATCCAGATGTACAAGTCCAATGTCAAATCATCTGGATGATCATGTGGTTTATTATGTAATCATATTTTCCCATCCTTCATGCCCTCAATCCCATCAAAAGGTCACTTTTCACTATTTCACCAGTCAGGGACAAAAGTGTTGCAATGCACTTTTCAGAAAGAATAGGGTGTATCTGTATCTCAGCATGTATTGCTTTGTGTTGACTGAACCTCAGTGCTCTGGAAAGCTTAGAGTCACCCCTTTCCATCAGTATGGGTATCATGATTATCTGTGCAGAATAGCCTGAGCTACATCAGCAACAAGTCACACCTCACAAACATTGCAACACTTTTGTCCCTCACTGTACAGAAAGTGAGCAGCCCCATGCCCCCTGGAGCTTTGCTTTGCTGCAAGAACCACTGGTCAATTGTCTCACACTGATTTGTCTTTGGAGGATGTACACAAGGTAAGTTATTGTCATATGTGTGGGGCACTACTAATGAATGAAACCAAGGGAGATGACTTTCTACATTGTGGTTTGTCACAATTGCCTGACAAAGTTCTTGTCAAAGACATAATGTACTTGCAAAGTGTGCATTTCAGGATCGTATATCACAGTGGGTCTCTCAAACCTTGGCAGAGATAGAGTTTATTGAGTGGCAGAGGGATTTATTGATTGAAGTTCACACAGCAGCTTGGGAAACTCTGGCAACTGTTGAATTGCAGTTGGTGATGTTGATGGATATTTTCTACAAATGTGACCTGCAGGATGCCAAAGATGACATGACATTTTACATTGCTGTATAAGCTGATGAACTTGTTGCATTCATAATCACAGCAACTCAGACAGAACAGTTGGAATCTTTCATGGATGAGAGGTCACCATTCCCTGATGAGCATGTTGAGGACAACCCTGACTGAGATGACAATACTTGTGGGAAGCTGTTCACAGGGTTACTCTCCTCTGACAATGATGAGGCTGAATAATGGTATGTATTCACTTAATCTTCTGACCTGTGAGTGATCCATTATATTCATAGGTTACATAGCTATGTCCTTGAGAAGAATTTGTACTGAGTATTGTGAGTTCAAACTGTTTCAGTCAGCATCACAAACTTACTCATCCAACATACTGATAGGTCAATAAGTTTATGCTTCTTTTTCGTTTTGCTACCACACTATCTGTATTCACTGGTGCTTTACTCACTGAAATCCATCACCCTATTCCTGTTTGGTCATGCCTGATTAAGATGGATCACAATGGATAAGTAGCCTGCAGCATCCACCATCTGCAACTCTGCTCCTCTGACTGCCATGCCAAGATGTAGGCCAAACAGTAATGTGGGGTTGAACTTGAATCCCAGCAGCAATGACATGTCAAGCCAACTAAAGCTCAAGGGTGAGCAGGCTGTGGATTTGTCTTTTCTGCATCAGGGACCAGGGTACCAAATGATGAACCCCTATCCCTTCAATTACCAGACACAATCAATGACTGAACCCCATCAACTGTTGTCTAGCACCTGGGTAGACAGGCTCCCTGCCCATGCACCACCTGGTGGCCCATCTGTGGGCAGTTACCACACCTCTCAAGACACTCACCCACCTGCCTCCTTACTCATATTTGACTAATTTCTAATAGCTCTTTGACTCAAGGTGATCAAGAGATCAGTCAGCCTCAGTGCCAACACTGTGTCACAGTGCCTCTGACTCCACCACCCCCTGCCTCAGTGGGCACAGTTACCAATGAAACTGCACCATGTGAGGGCTACATGGCTGCTGTTGCACTTGTTCTTGTGATGGTAACCAAACAAGAGTGAGGGTAGATTGTGGACCAAGCAAAGAAAGAGGTACAGAAATACATGTTTGCTATGGATGCTGTGCCAACAAAGAATGTGCATGCTGAATGTGTGAAAGCAGCCATCCAAAAAGCCACATGCACTGTCATTGGAGGAGGTATGTCATGGCCTGCAGTACATTTCCCCAGCTGATATCTGTTGGAGACTGGATGTTGTATGGAAGAGCAAGAACTTCCTACTTACATAATCACCCCTTGTTATGGGCAGAACAATTTTTCCTTCTGTTAAGTACAGGTTTACCCTCAGGTGACCAGGCTTCAAGACTGGGTGACAGGGGCTAAGTCTGGTTGACCAGGGTCAAGGCCAGGAGACAGGGGCTAAGTCTGGTTGGACCAGAGTTGAGGCCAGGAGTGTGGGAATAAGGCTGATAGCATGGGAAACTGACCAGTCTTGGAGCACACACAGTGGGGAAGCTGCTCAGGGGTTGGATCTACCTCCCTTGGTCACAGCTTATGTGCTGTACTCTTATGCAAGCCAGGGAGAGGTCCAGTGTAAGGAATCCACATTCCTTGGATGTGTAAGCACCTATCATCAACTGTTCCATGACTATCATTACATCCCCAGACCACTCACATCCACTGCTGTTCATGCACTGTCTTCCTGCCTACCTCACTACCTTCCCATGCCCTTGCTCCCTCTCACACAATGCTATACCTGCAGCTGCTGTGCTCCAGTCATATCCTTTCTTCAGACTCATTTCTTTTTGCCATGGTCTCTTTCCCTTTACACTAGTAGTATACTCTTGGCCCCTGTTCAGGCCTGTCTTGTATGTACATGCTGTCACACAGCTTCCCCTTACTTGTACCCTGTTGGCCTTTGTCTTCCATTAGAAAGTGTCCATTCTGAAGTTGACCACAAGAATGTTCAAGTCTGACAACTCCTTGCTGACCTCACTTTCCTTAAACCCTGGTGTTATCAACCAATGGTATGCACAATGTTCCCATAATTCTTATGTTGTCAAATGACTCCAGTACTCTAGCAACCAACAGAGGATCCCTATACTGCAGCAAATGAAGGCCTATGCACGTGTGAGTTATTCACAGATGTCATCATCAACATCCTCTTCCTAAGCCTGGGACAGCTATACAAAGCCATCAACAAGGACTTGATGGATCCCCTTTGCACTTTGGCAGGAACTGCCATCTATGCTGCCCTCAAGGATCATCAGAATGGCATGTATGTAGAAAGTGCTGTTCACATGAACATCTGGCATGATGTATACTGTGATCTTATGGCTAGTGTTTCTAAGCTGTGGGTGAGTGCTGTTGAGAGTGCAAGATTATCTGAGGTGCAGAGGGGAATCATCAAGAGTGGTTACATATTGATTGATGTGCAATGGTTTTGTAGCCAACATCAGTTGATAAGATCACTTCTCTACATCTAGTCAGGCTAAGCTGAACTTAACTTGGCTAATGTTGCTGTAAGTTTTCCTGATATATTAAGCATATAAAAGTAATTACATACTACTAGGTCAAGTGGGCCATCTCAATGTGGGTTGAACCTGGCCAATGCAACAAGGACAGCAAGGGCAATGCTGGGCAGTTTTCTGGAAGCCCTGAAAGCAAGTGGGGTTCCAGCAGTGCTGCATTTGTGCACTCAATTGCAATGCTGAAGCAGGCTGTGTGAGATGAAACAGAAGCTGGTGCTCTACAGTCAGTTAAACATAGAAAGCAATCGAAGACAGGACTGAATTCTATGCAGGATGTGCATGTTTGCATTGCAGACTGTGACTTGGTGTGGGACATGACTTCTGGGAAGCATGTGACTATGTGAAAGCTGAAGGGAAAACTCCCTAGGGTCATCCCAGGGGGTGCTGAGTAGGAAGGGTAAGTAGAATTCAATGCTAAAGGTGTATAGTAGACTGTGAGAGTTGCAGAATTTAATTCCAAAGGCTTGTGGGCATGTGAAGAGTGAACAGGTTGGGTATATGAAATTCTGAATGAGGATCTTGATGCAAAGAGGGAAGTTACTCAATAAAGAAGGTGTGATAAGGGATTTGTATGATGCAGAAGGTTTCAGGGAGATGCAAAAGCCTCTGAAGACACTGTAGATGCTGTAGACTCAAAGGATGCTTTAGACTCTGGGAACTCTCTAGACACAAAGGGGCACAGAGATAGTGACTCCAAAAGTGGGTGGTATTTTTCTGACACTAAGGTGGAATTATATAGTACATGGGATGTAGGTACAAGTCAGAATGAAGTGTGGTGGAAATACTAAAACTCTGGAAACATAGAGATGGACATGTCAGATGTCAGTGAAGTACAGGGACACATGAAAGTGGACTGGTAAGTAGTAGATAAATAGAGGAGAAGGGGGGTGCATATCCAGGGTATCTTCCACAAGAACAAAGGTATAGCATACTGTGGTGTAAAGAGCAGAAGGCAAAGCTAGTAAGGAAGGCAGAAGTGCCAAAGGGAAAAGCACACTGGTACAAAGAGAGGCTTGCAGGATTTTGGGGTGACAGGGGTAACTGGAGTTTTTTACTAAGTTCTAGCAAGATTGACTGGTGATGTGGCAGGGCAGTGGCTAGGTTGTGGAATTTCAGATCAATGTATTGATGACTCTGGTCAACATGTTGATTGTTGGGAGAAACTCTGAAGCCAAAAGGGGGTAGGATGAAACACAAGGCAATGAGTGGAAAGAATTCTGAAAGGGACAAACAGGGAGGATGAACAGGGAGCATCGATACAGGCTTGCCTCAGAGGTGGCAGGATTAATTGATGGTATCCTGTTTCAGCTTCAGGGGAATATGGCATCCTACATTGGAAAATGACAGCTTTGATGGTATTGCAGGGAATGGTCCACAGGATCAGGCAATGGCTGTCACTGAACAGAACAGGGAATGTTCCCATGATGAAACTATCTTTGCCTGCCCCTTTGATGCATCAGAGATCCTGGAGGTGAACACCCATGCTACAAATCCTCAGCATGTGCTACCACAGCCCTTGTTCAGCCCTGATGTTGCAGGACACTCAGAGTCACAGCCTAACAGTGCCATGGCTGCTGATTGCTACTTTCTGCCACTCATGTTTTTCCTGCCTACTACCCCATTTGTGGATCAGCCCTCAGTGGCTACCTTGCCACCTGCTCTGATTGCTGGTCAGTCTTCAATCAGTGACTTGTCACCTCCTGCTCATGCTTCAACTTCTTGGACTTTACCTGTCATGCCCATGCCCAATTCTTGCCAATCAAATCAACATTTTGCCAATCATCCTACCTCAGAATCTGGTTGTAGTCTTGGTCAAAGTGACCAACAACTTGGTGATCATCATACCAACCCTCTCCTTCCATGCAGTCCTGACCCATTCACATGCAATGGCAGGTTTGCAGCTGATCATCCACTTGTGTTGCCATCAGGCCTCAGGATGGGTAGCAATTTTCTGATGGGTGCAGTTGATGCAGATGACACAGACTACTGATTGGTTTATAGAATGGTATCACCAGGCAACTTGATCACCCTGTGGTCACACAACTATCACCCAGTGTGATCATCCATTTTTACATAGATGTTCTTAGTATCTATACATATGTACATACACTACATTGGGTATCTAGCATCAGGCAACAGCTATCTCCATCCACAGAAAAAGTTCCTCTGATAATTTCAGGGAGTCCTGTTCATGGTGAGTAAACCCAGCAAGCCAAATGGAATCATAGATAGACTGTGGTAAGCCCAGGACTGGATTGTGCAAACTTTGGGGGTTTCCAGGTGCATGAATCCTCTGGATAGGCTTTGATCCTTGGGGTGCAAAAACATCATTGTTGACAAGTCTCTGGAGGTCAATAATATCAAGTTCCCATTAAACACTGTGTCACCATGCCATATTCTTAACTTAGATGACAGCCATGTGGTTATTGTCAATGTCACTAACCTTGGAACTCATCCCATGCTCACCCAATGTGTGGATCAGCTGCAGGAGCCATTGCCAAGCACAGAGATCACCTTTGCCATTCATGGAGTCTTTCTTGAGAGCAATGATATGTTTGAAATGGCACATTGACATTGATATTCTAAAACAGGTTGAGTTACTGGTATGAAACAGCAGAATTAATGCCCTACATTTCATCATTGTGTGGTCTGTCTGCCCTCTTTGAGTACCTGGGTTCATTCCACTACCAAGCATTCTTCAATCTCAGTGGAAGTTTCTACTGTGCCCTTTGTTGTAATATGTGGCTGAGCTTTCCACCATGTTGTGCATAGATGTTTGTAGCATTCATGTAAGATTTCCAACATGTAATCATTGGACTTCATTACAAGCCAGTGTTCTTCATTGCCTCATCTCTGAAATTTGTTGAGAAGGTGGTTGATGATGAAAGAATTCCATGGAAAGGAATTGCCCTGCTGTTATATCCATGATTCTTGGACTCAAGCCTGGTCCAGTCTGAACCCCTAGCCCATATCTCCAGTCAAGTCCAGACCTAGTTTGGCCTAGAGAACACAACTCCAGTCCTAAATAACCCAACTCTGGCCTAGATAACTCAAGTCTGGTGTTTTACCCCTATCTCCAGTCCACTCCAGCCTCCCAGCCTTGTGCTGCTCCACCCCAGTCCATGTCCATGTCACCCAGACATAACTCCAGTCTGTTTTCCAAATGCTGGTCACCTGGACTTTGACTATTAGCCTTGGCACAACCTCTGTGGCTGTCCACCCCTTGGTCATCATCTTGCTAATAGCTTACCAACAAGTCCAGCTTCATGTTCACTACTCCAGACTGGCCTTGTGTATTTAACCCATGTACATACTTTGTCAGCACTCCAGTCAGAATATCAACTTAGTATTACCCTTAACTCTGTGTTACCCCTTGAGTCTACTCAATAGCTAAGGCTGAGCCTTAGGCTATCCCTGGCCCCTGTCCCAGACCTCTCCCCAGCTTGCATAAGGGTACAGCACATAAGCTGAGACCAAGGGAGATCCAACTCTGGACTAGGCTTCCCCCTGTGTGCACTCCAAGACCAGTCAGTTTCCCACACTACTGGCCTTATTCCCATGCTCCTGGTCTTAAGTCCAGACCTCCAGACTTAAGCCCTGACCTCTGGCCTTAACTCCAGTCCAACTGGACTTGGCCCCTGTCACCTGGTCTTGAAGCCTGGTCATCTGAGGGTAAACCTGTACTTCACACCTGCATGAGGTCAAAAGTTGGTGAGTCCATATCAGGTGGTGGACTGTCTTCATGTTTGTATGCATGGACATCATCAGGGGGGGCCATTTTGTTCAAAATAAATTCATGGTCCTGACTTATTTTGAGTTTTTCCTTGGAGAAGTGATGGACTTCACTCTATCACAGCTGGTTTAGCACATGAACAGAACTAGCAATATGTCACTTACCAGTATAAGATCACAATGTCCTCATGGCTCTGTAGCCTTCTCTATCTCCACTTCTTTATCCACCTCCTTTTGTTTTTGAGGTGACTGCTGTGACCACCCTGTTTGTGGCATAGTGATAGCACCATCACCAAGTACTTTCCAAAGTGCAGCTTCAACCCCCTTGGCAATTGCCTCTGCCATTGATACAGGATCACTGTTACTTGCTTGTGATACCTCAGGTTCAGAAGCAGTAGATTGGAACTCTTCATTGTCAATAGGCTATTGATGGTGAGATATTCATATCAAGTCATATATTTCCTTACTTACCTCATGAGACATGCTGATGAGGCAGGTTCTTTGTGAAGCTGCTCAGGTTCATTTGATCTTCTTGAGAGTGTCCAAATATGGAGTTCATGCATGTTGGGGCAGTGGTGCAGTGGATGCTTGTTGTGGTGTTTGTGGCTGGTTGTCCTGGCAGGTAGGAGACTTGGATTCAGCTGGAAAGTGTGCTAGTTCAGCTCGAGATGTTGTTTGCACTGTCTGAGGGCAGTCAGCATAGCCCAAAAAACTACATAGTTTGTTCACTTACATGTCTATGTCACATATTGTGTTGAACCATTGCTGCTAATTCCCTCTCTTTCTCTGCTTGGCAGTGCATCACCACATCATTGCCAACCTTCTTTAGTTCTGATTGCAAGTGCTCTTCCACAGCAGCAGTATGTTGCACTATCTCAATTTCCTGCAGTTGGTTACATCTCTTCAGTGTGATGTAAACTGTTAGGAGTGTATAGTGATCTACAATGACCCACCTGCAGTTCATTTCAGAACCTCAAAAACTCCTCCTTTTGAGCTGCCAGTAAGGTATCACACTGATGGTGTTGTTCCTTCATTCATTGAGCAATGGCCTGACAGAGCACTGAGGATAGCATACCTGAATTTCATCTCTGAGCATGGTAAGTTCCTGCTCATGAGATTTAAGAAGAGTTTCCCACTGTCTGTGGTTTTTCCTTTAGAACACATGAGTGTGATACTAAATAAAGCTATGCACTTCTCACCTGAACCTCTTCTTGGAGGTTTCACAAAACACTGTGCAGTGATGCTCCTTGGTTCACATAAATACAGTCCAAGACAGTGATATGTGATGGCTGACCTGAATTTCATGCCAGAGTCTGCAGAGCTCTTGTTCTTGAGTAGCAAGCAAAGTACACATATCAGATAGAACTTTCTTCTTCAAATCAAACTCATTCTTTGCAGTGAGAAGGCAGTTTTGTGTAGTCTTCTCAATGGTGGCAAGTTTACACTGGCATGTTCATGATAGTCCTTCAGCCCCAGTGACAAGTAGTAGGTTAGAGTTGGCTACTCACTGACCCTTTCAGATGTAACTTGGCCTTCATGTGGTTCAATTTTGCTCCCATTCCCTGGAGTTGCTGACAAAGTGAGTAGGAGTAATCTAGTTCTCTGTTATGACACTTTGCAATAGGCCATGGTTCATCATCCTTATTGCATCACTTGTGATGTGTTGATGTAGTGGTCATGGTTTGTGTGGTGGAAACTGAGGCATGTGGGGGCTCATGTTCAAGGGCAATGCCAGCAGTGGTGTTGTGCTCTGCTGGTTTTGTCATGGTACATCTTGCAGCAAGCTGGTCTGTGGAGGATGCATTGTAACCAGCATCTGTACATGAGTTGGCAATGGACCTGCCATTACCCTGATCCTCACTGTGCCTGATGGTAAGCTGTTCTTTGACAGATGCATTGCTACTGCTTTCCATCTGCAAACAGAAGCTGTTGCCATTATCATTGTCAAAAAGTGACATGTTGCTATCTACAGTTTGTGTGCTTTCTCCTCCTTGTAAGCTGCAATTAGGGATCATTATGGACTCCAATGCATACACCTATGGATACCAAATGCACCTGGCATTGAAAATGGGTTAGAGTTAGTAATTGTGGGGTGAATGGAAACCTAGAGGGTTAAATTGGAGATGATCAGTGCCATGAGTCCCTAACAAAAAAAAAGGAAAGACAATAGAAAGTCACATGGAACAAAAGCATCCATGGTTGTGGATCAGAAGAATACAACAGAGTACAGCAACATGTAGCACACATCTGGAATGAGACTAGAGGGAAAAAATGAAGTCAGCACTAGGCAAACAAAAGCAGACAAAAACAGGGCAGTCAAATGTGGGCACATTGCCATATGGGAAATAAGTTGATATCACAGACATGCTCACATACATGCATGAAGAGGTATGGGCCTATTTCCAATAATTGCCCAAGTCAGGTGAACAGAATGGGTCTGGAGGAGGTAATTTCTCAAAAGTAAAGACCTGATCAGTCTCCAGCACAGCCAGGCAAATGCACCTCCATTGTAATTACAGGCATCTACTATCTGATTGTAGTTTTGGTAGTAATTTAGTTGTGCCACTTCATTATATCAAGTTGAGCTTTTTGTTCACCTTGTTAAAATCAGATCAGGCATTCTTCCCACAATTAAACCTCACAAGCAGCTGAAATAATAGGCAACATCATAATGGTTATAGTCAGGAGGAAATGCACCTCTATCAGCCATGGTAGGCACTGTCATGAGGGCACAATAATAATAAAATTGTTGCATTAGCAATGCTCAGGTTATGCCTTCACAACATTATGTAAATTAGCTGTTAGGCAATAACAGATACAATGTATTTACATTGTCAATGACTTTGCCTTACCAATGAACAATTTACCCAATGATATTCAACTCTATTCTCAAGTTGCTGACAAAGTATGCACTTGGGTGTTGTGGACATGGTTACAGATGACTCTACATATCTCATCAATGAGTTGTGCACCCATGCCATGCAGATGAAGACTAAAGCCCTCATGTGTAGAAGGTCTGCTGGACATGAGCAGTCATCAGTACTAAAGAGAAAAGAGGAAGCAAGTTAAGTACACATTAAAAGTTTTTAGTGCCCATGTATGGCATTCCAGTTTTCATCATGTCCATATCTCCACCATTTCCAAGGATATTGACACTGTTCTCACACTTGCTTGAAGTGCTCAGCCACATGATTCTGTCTTCCAAATTTGGAGAGGATCCTCACACCCTATGCATTTCTACAGCACTTCATCTGTCAGATGTTCATTTTGCTAGGTCCATCAGAAATGGCCACCCCTTCATTGATCATCTCACTTGTCTCATTTGCCAGAGACAGTGGCTATGTATATCTGCCAGGCATTCCCACAAGCTTCTGCCCTGAACCCTCCTGGTTCATCCCATTGTTGTCAGCCCCATCCCATCCCATGCAGCATGGTCAGTGTGTTCTCCTTGTCAGTATGACTTCCAGAAGGACATTCTTTGGTCACCTCAGGTCTGTCACTCAGTTAGAAAGGTCTTATGTGGTCATTTTTGTCTCCCCACTTGATGAAGCATATGGATCATTCCTCCCTGCTCCCTGCACTATCTTTATTCCAATCTCACCCATCATTCTGCCTACATTGCAACAGCTGCAGCATAGTCTACTGTTCTCCAGCCTCCCTGATCACATCCATGATGAGTATGACATGCATCTTGCCTTCTTACTGCAAGATCCAGCAGAGGATGTCCCCCCTTCTCCTCCTCCTCCTTCATCAGAGCCCCATTCATGAATGGTTTTGTTAACTTTGCTGAGAGGATGAATGGGTGGGAGACATGATTGCTTATGTGCCCATTGCCCCACAGACCCCCAATGCCCTAGCCCTTTGATGCCTGATGCATGCCCTTCAATTCTGGAATTAATACTTCCCTATCTGGAAACACCATCCATCTGTCATGCCATCTTTGGATCTAGTGATGTCTCTGCTGAGATCTCACATGCATCACCACCCCCTAATGTGATATCAGTGTGCTTACTCAGTTTCTGACACTCTTTGACTCATTCTGTGATATTTTGACTGTCCTTGACTTGTTCATTGTCAATACTTACCAATCCTCTTTGCTTGCTTACTTTTTATTTCTCACTTACTCATCAGGATTACTCACTGCTTACAGTCCTTACTCATCACTTACCAAGTGTTTGTGCCTCATTTGACCCCATGTAGTCCATTTAGTCACAACATATAGGTAGCCTGCATGCCAAAATGCCAACACTTATATAGACCCTGTGATGGGCCTGTCTAAATAGATTAGCCATGACACATGGACAGGCCTGAGGGCCTATAGTGAGAGCAACATATGTATGGGCCCATAAGCACAATTCCACAACATATGGGAGGGCCTGTGGAGGGTAAGGATGCTGCAACATATAGATGGGCCTGTGACCAAGCAAGTATGCTGAGCTACTGTAAGACATGGATGGGCCCATCCATGGTAGGGTGTGCCCCAGTCACAAAATCAGGATGGGCCTGCCTATTGTATCATGAAGAAGGTTGCAACATATGGATGGGCCCACCCATCATATGCTTTATAGGGTTACAACATAAAGAGGGGCCCCTCTATGATAGACTACAGAGTTGGCAACATATGGAAGGGCATGTCTTTGGGATAATATACCCCTGTCACAACATATAGATGGGCCTGTCCATAGCAAGATGTATGCCTGTCACAATATAAGGATGGGCCCATCAGTAATATCATTGACAGTGTCACAATACATAGACAGGCCCATCTAGTAAGATGCATCCCTGCCACAATATAAAGACAGGCCCATCAGTAATGTCATTTATAGCATCACAACATATGGATGGGCCCTTCTGTAATACCATTTATACCATCACAACACATGGGTGGGCCCGTCCATAGTAAGATGTACCTGTCACAACATAAAGACAGGCCCTTCAATATATATCATTTACAGGGTCACAACACATGGATGGGCCCCTCTAGTAAGATGCACCCACATCACAACATAAAGATGGGCCTTTCAGCAATATCAATTACATGGTCACAACACATGGGCAGGCCTGTCAATAGCAACACATATGCCTGTCGCAACATAAAGACAGGCCTGTCAGTAATATCATTTACAGCATCACAGCACATAGACAGGCCCATCCAGTAAGATGCACCCCTGTCACAACATAAAGATGGGCCTGTCAGTAATATCATTTACAGTGTCACAACACATAGATGGGCCCATCTAGTAAGATATGCCCCTGTCACAACATGAGACAGGCCCATCAGTAATATCAATTACACAGTCACAACACATGGATGGGCCCATCAATAGCAACATGTATGCCTGTCACAACATAAAGACAGGCCCATCAGTAATATCATTTACAGCATCACAGCACATAGATGGGCCCATCTAGTAAGATGCACCCCTGTCACAACATAAAGACAGGCCCATCAGTAATATCATTTATAGCTTCACAACATATGGAAGGGCCCTTCAGCAGTATCATTTATGCAGTCACAACATAAGGACAGGCCCTTCAGCAGTATTATTTATATGGTCATAATGTATGGATGGGCCCTTCAGTAATATCTTTTATATTGCCATAAAACAAGGACAGGTCTGTCTAGTAAGATCCACCCCTGTCACAACATAAGATGGGCCCAACACCAATAGCACATATAGCATCACAACATATTGATCAGATCACAGCAAAATATTGAGGCAAGCATCCCAACATGCTGTAATTTTCCAACAAGCTGCAAGCAGCTTGCCCACTATACAACTCCTGACCTCATCCACCCCAAGCATGAATACTATGCAAGACATGTCTAAAACCCCCCACAGATGGAAATGGAACTAACAGACTGCATTGTGTCATACATGAAAGCCAGATTTCAAGAGGAGGTATTCAGTGGACCTCATGCCCTTCCAGATATATCAATTCTGTTTCTGGTGTTATGTGAAGCAGATCACATATCATCAGTAATCTCACAGGCCTATCAGTCACCCAAGTAAGTCCATCATAATGGTGTGATGGAAGTTTTCATCTTTCTGCAGTCAACATTGGGAAAAATCAGGGTGGAAAAACCTGCAATGCAGAAGCTGCTGAGAGATATGCTGGAAGTGACTGAGCCATCCATTCTGGTGACTGACTCAAACACCATCCACATTTGGTATTTGCCAGATGCTCTCAGCCCAAAAAGAAGGGTAAGGGAATGCAGAATCTCATATTCTACTGACTTAATGCAATGACAGGCTGATGTATGGAACTGCCTTCATCTTCTGAGGGAACCACTGCAGGAGAGCATAAAGGCTTCCCCACAGGCATGGTGGATGGACAAGTCATATTTCCTGCAATAATGCTGAGTTGAAAGGTGCCATCAACCTGTCACCTGCATGGTTTCAACAGGGTCATGGGGTGGGTGATCATTTCTTTCCTTGTGAATAAAGTGCTCATCTGTCTTGAAGCCCCAAAATGGCTTCCTAGAAGCCTCATGGCTGCTCAAATCCAGGATGGAAAACACTTCTACAAGGGAATGGGTTGACCAAATGTCCAACACCAATGCCCTGTTATCTGCAATCCTGCATGTCATCCATCCATGAATGTATGCAGATGGCAGGGAAGCATTGATCTGCCTTGGTGAACAGGCAGAACAGTGGGTGGATTAGGATATGAGCTCCATACTGCCAATATGGAGCTCCACATGTATAGCAGCATGTCCTTGATGGTGAATTGGGCAACTTGTTACCACAGGGATATCAATGGATGGGATCCATGGTATGACATGCTGGTAACATGTGGGTGACTACCTGCCCTTGGACTTTGTCATTCCAACATTGAATCTGTGGCTGCACTACAACCCAGGGACAATCATTGCATTTTCAGGTTCAGCATTGGAGCATGGGGTGGGAGCTGTAGACAGGTGACAGAGCATGCCTGGCATACTACATGCATGCCAATGTACATCAGTCAGTGCACATTCCCATGTGTCAATCACTGCAGGATGGATGACCTACTACCTAGACCAGTTGCAACTGGAGAACTGTTGATTTGAAGCTGCAAAATTTAATGTAAGATTTAGTAGGTGATGCTGATCTCATATTTTATTAGGATATGCTGGCTCTTGAACTTTGGACAGGGTGGTGTTGCCAAGATTTTGCAAATGGGCAGGTGCTTTGACATCATAGATTGGGCAGGTACTCAGAGCTAAAGGGTGTGCATCATAAACTGCAAAAAAAATAAACCTACTCAGGCCATCATGCAGATGGGTGGATTGTCAGACATCATGCAGATGGGCAGGGGTTCAGACATCATGCAAATGGGCAGTATCTCATAAATGATCAACATTCACAGCAATGTATATTCAACCAACTCCACAGTCAAAAACATGTAAACTATTGAAGTGGCATGCCCAACAACCCATGCAATGCCCACCACCTAGTGTAGAAATGGTCAATTTGTCAACCCCTGACCATTGACAACATCAGCATATTTCCAAATATTTTCGAATGCAGTAGTTTACCTGCTCCTTCAATATGGCCATTGAGACAGTCTGCAATTGGGCACCTCAGGCAATGGCCATAAGCCCTGGGCCATCATCAACTATTTGCAGTGATGAGAATAAGCAGCATACCTTAAAAAAATCCCAGGCCATGGAAAACAATCCCTTGCCTTGCAATCTTTGGGAATCCTGCTGCATATTCCTTGGAACATGATATAGCCACCAAGGGAATGCAAAGCTAGAATTGGGATCAGCTGCATGTGGGGTCCAATGCAGGATGATGGTGCTGATATTGTTGATTATGCAAAATGCACTAAGGGGAATTAGCTGCATTTGATTGCAGAAGCTAACCTCATCATCTTGGTGTCTGAGGTATGCATGGTAGCATGCCTGGGAGGGGAGGAGTATAACTGGCATGCAACACCATCACCAGAATCAAGCTATTAAGCTGATTCTGAAGGAATTATGTATCAGTCCCACATTGTGAAAAATTGATGTAAAACCTACCAAGTCCATTGCTAGGTTTGCAAACCAATGCATGGGCCATCCCATGCAATATTGGCAGTCTGCTTCAGATGTACAGAGGCCACCTTGATCTGGCATGCCAAGTAGAGGATACCCATCTCTACCACAGACTGGCAAGATGGGTGTGATTGGCTGGTGATGAATGGCTCAGGACAATTTTCAAAGGTGGAATGCAGATAATGAATGACTTCCATCAAATCGAGCATATTGATGAGTTGAAGGCCCTGAGAGGCTGCACCATACTGGTCCCTTGCAGCTGTGCCCAATTCTCTTGCAATGGCATTCACAGCCTGCACAAGGTGCCTATCGAGGGTGGGATTGAACATGGCATGTTGCTGGGAGTGGTGTTTCCATGATAGCAAGATACTGCATGGCATGTAAGGCATGCAGGACTAAAATTATCAATGTCAAAGGTGTATCAGATTAAGCTCATGCCCATACCTTGATTGCAATGTGGAACAGGTGCCAATCCCCATTGTTCCATTTGAAGAGATTGCTGTGCAGATGGAAGTTCACCTACATAATTGATGGATATCACTGATCACATGAATAGAACCAAATAAATGCTCACCATTGCATATTTCTTGAAAAGATCCCTCATCTCTGATCATTCAGGCATGCCAAAAGTCAAATGGTTTGTGCCATTGTCCTCATCCACTGCCAAGTCAAAAGATTCAACAGGTACATTTGAAATGAGTGGGGGAGGCATTGGTTCCCTCATATCCTGCAATTGAGCAAGCAGGTTAGTTGGAGAATCAGGTCGAGGAGATCAGGTCCCTCAGATTTGATGATTGCAGGGTGATGGGCAGAGGAGATGGTTCCCACACATTCTGCAAGTCTGCCAGAAAATTGACCTGCATAGTAATGTCTTGTGCAGGTGTTGAAGACCCTGTCCATCCTGTTTAATTTCTCATGCTGTGACTGGTGGTGCCAATGGTTCCTGCACATTCAGCAATTGCTCGAGTAGATCCACATTCATACCATCCACTGGGGGAGCAGTTGGTTCCCATTCATTCAGGAACTGATTCATCAAGTTGTCATGTGGATCTATTACTAGAAAATTAGTTTGTTGCATTAGCTTGAAGGGCAATTGTGCCAACTCACTGGCTGCAATTCCACCCTCTGCCAGAGCAGTTGGCTCCCTTTCCTGCAGGAACTGATCCAGCAAGCTTTCACATGAATCTATAGTGAAAGAACATTTGTTGTTTAGCTTGGAGAGAAATCATGTTCACTCACTGGCCATGCAATATCCATGTTTGACCCTGCCATATCCACCCTTCCACTTGAGACAATTGGTGGAGGGGTTGGCTCTCACAACTCACGCAGTTGTACTAGTGTCTCCTCCAGATTTTTGGACTGCTTCATGTGGGAGCTAGATTGCCTTGGCTCAATTGGTCTTACATTAGCTGTGGATGGCTTAGGTTGCTGGATCCAACAATGAAGACAACCTCACCTTGATGACAGAAATGAACTTGGTGGGACTGTTCAGTGGACATATTTGACAATGATGGGTTCACTGATAGGTCAATGATCAATCAAGATTTAAACTTGTAGGAACAATGGCGAGAATATCATTCACACCATGGGAAGCAAGGTTGGACAATGGCAGATGGAGCCAAATTTTGGGTAACAGCAATACATGGGAGATGAGCAGCAATATCTCCCTACATAGATAGCTACCAGTCGCTTCCACATGGCCAATACATAGACCTGTCCCACTCAGCTCTCCACTCAATTGTCCTGCTCAACCATCCCACTTAACTATCCCTCTCTCTGATATCAAAGATGCCTCTCACAACCACCATGGTGTCATGAGCTACTGTACATGCCATACACTTGTATTCTAATGTGTCACACTAGGCTAAGCCCTCTATAGACCATACATGAGTTCCAAAAAAGGTTTCCACTCTGACTGTTTGAGGGATTTGACAACTACTTCCACTTCTGATTGCTGCCTGTTTGCTTGTGCATGATCTCTTTGCATCAGGAGATGGAACATCTGCATCTGGCCTTGCAGGGGCCTTTCTGACACAAGGTGACTTCCAGGTGCTCCCAGGGATGCCCTGTTTCACATTTGTGGATGCTGCATTGGTGGTCACAGATCCATTATGGTTGGACTTGGATGAGTATTTGGCCCCAGGTCAATGTTGATTCATGTCTGGCTCACTCAATTCTGACAGAGCCTGCTTAATATACAGTGCAAACTTGTTAGCCATAACAGCTGATTCAACATGACTGAACTTGCCTGGTGTGTGTGCTTCAGGGTGGATTTCAGCTTTCCACCTTTTTTTCTGCTCATTGACCCCTCCTCAGTTGGGTGGTCAGTGAAAGGAATGCTCTCCAATCCATCTTCATCTGCATATTCTGAGTGGTCCTGTAGTTCAGTTGTGTACTCATTCCCTGAGTGCAGATCAGGGTTTGCTGTGAATACAAGTTACAGCGGGAAGCTCACTATTCAGGGATGTTGCCATTTTCTTTGAATTGGATAGGGTGGGCAAATAAGTGTCTTCATCAGCTTCATCATCAGAATCATGGCCATTGCTTTCCTGCCCATTATAGTCAGTTAGCACTTTATTTCATGGACAATGCACCAGGGTCTTTGCATGGGCTGGAGGTGCAGAGAGCCACTCACTATGGGAACCATCAGCTGGTGGGGTATTTGAGCAGGAACGAGAAGGGAATGGTGTCTTGGCACAGTTTTGCCTCCCACCAGATACCTGAAGACCAGAATTGCATTAGTGCTGCTCTGTTGTGCATGAAAATCACACATGGTGCACCTTTTTAGTGGAGGGACCATCTGTTCCAACATCACTCACCTCAGCCTCACTGTGATCATCCAAACTGTTATCTGCACTGTTGTCTGCACTATCATCTGCACTATCATCTGCCACTCCCTCTTCCTGCACTTTACCCTTGCCCTTGACATTTTTCCTTCCAGGATTCTTTTTGCATTTGGGGGCAGGTGTCTTTTGGTATTTCTGTTGCCTGACAACCTGGAGGGGTACCAAGGTTCTATCCACCAGTGGCTGCAGCTTGCCAGATCAATCAATCCATTTCTGAAATCCAAACACATCATTTGGATGGGATTCCTGTTGCTTGCACCAAAAGGACAGCAGCTGGGTAGCTGTTGTCATCCACATGTGACTTGGGTCATGGTTGAAGGTAAATCCTTCAGGAAGATGGTGGGCTGCTATCATTTCTGCTTGATGATGACCAAAATTCTTAAATGGCACTGCTGATGAGGAATTTCCACATGCTAATCCTGATAGCACTCATCAGAGATTGAGGACACTAAATACTCTGGCCACTCATGGTAGTGAGCAGTCACAAATC